GTTCTACCCTAAGGTGTACACCCCTCTGTATACACTTTGACCTGCAGCGAGAGGTGCGTTCGGATGGATGCGTCGTTTTACCAATCCTTTCTGGAACCATGTATAGTCCCTCTAGTGCTAAGCTGTACTCCTTTGTTCCTTGTCTCCCTGGGGTCGGGTGCTCGTACGTACATGGAAGCGAGGCGGGCTTGAATGCCGAGTCGCGCGAGATTTCATTCGAAAAATGGAGCTTGCAGACTCCCCTCTAACTTTTTAGAAGATTGTCCGGAGACCGCGCCACCTCTACGTACGTCCTTTTATTTTTATTTCCAACAACTTTCTGGAAGTGAACATCCGACTGGTGGGTGCCACCGTTCGTTGTTTCGTTTGAGCCGAGATTTTTCGAGAATCGAAGTACTTCTACAATTTTGTTGATCCAATGATCCAACATTTCTGGCATTCATAGAAAAAGAAGCTCTCTTACTTTGGCCATCGCAAGCACCTCAAGTTCAAAGGATGTTTGTTTTTTCTAATCTCCCTCGAGCTACTCGTCAGACGTTCTTTGGAAATTCGATGGGAAGACCCCCGTGGTCCGATCACATTTTGGGTGTATAAAATGGTTACCCGAAGCGGATCAGCCACCAAATCGCCGACTTTGTGATTCTCCGATGAATAGTATCAATCGAAAACAAATAAATTTCAAGTATCAAAACGCAACCCATACAAGTATACGTACGTTGAAAAATAAAAGAAATCGAAACAATAAACGCACAATGCAAGGGGTGCAAACGAGAGTACGTATTGAGCAAACAAAAGAAGAGAGAGAGCGCAATTATAGGCCGATACCGAAACAACCCGCTTCTTTAGATTCGGTAATTACTCAGCCTCCATCGGGTGCGTTATTTAAACCACCGAAATTCTATTGCTCGCTGTTTGCGCGATTCCGCAATTACGCATAAATTCGCTTGTGCACCGTATACACCGTTACCCGCTCCACTCCAAACTAACACCGGACTGTATACGTATATACATCCCCTGACTTTTCATTCGACTAGCAATGCCACGCGAGCCCGGAAAAAATCACGACGACCCCGTCAAACGCCAATAGCAAGTGATGGATACTGATTGCACGGCGCCTCGGACCCTATATCTTTTACCCCCGTCGATTCCGCTAGACGTAAAATCCAAGGGCCACGCGAATAATCGACCCCCCCCGTTATTTTCCCCGAGCCTAAACATGCAGCAAAGGCTATGGGCGCTCTATAAATTCTCCCGTACGTGCGGCTATAAAGCGCAGCCCGTGTGTATACTAACTGTTTTCCGAGAGACGCGGAGTATAGCATCACGGAGGAAGTAACCCAAGCCACGACGAGAATAAAAAAAAAAAATAGGGAAAACAAACGCGCGTGTCCCTCTGTGTTGTTTCCTCGAGGGTGGATTCACGCTTTACTACCCGGAGAGATACGATTCGGCGTACACGGTCGCAAAAAGAGCTTCCCATCGGAGGACTCGCCGAAAAATTCTCGATTGACGAGACGCGGGTCGACAACACGTTAAGGAAGCGTCGTACGATCGTCGTGAAGTTTATTCCGCGACCAAAGAGCCAATAGTTAACGTTGTTTATTGCCGTGTGGTTGGAGTGCTGTTTTGTTTCCCCACCCGCCTCTCGGGCTCTCGTAAAAATATACGACGACCCCAAGGTACATGCACGTATAAGAAAGGACGGGAAAAAGAAAGAGGGAGAGACACACGAGAGTCCAGCGTTGTTTATGCGTTTTGCAAGAGGATTGATGCTGTGCTCCTGTCGTGCCGGGAGTAGGAGCGATGTAAATAGAGGCTCGCGCGGGGTTATGCATTATGGATAATACCTTGCGGGCGCGAGTTTGGGCGAAAGACGATGTACCAGCCCAACGGAAGGGAGATCTCGTTAAAAACAAAGCCTTTCCTGGTTTGGTATGAAATATATTTGTACATCGCGCGAGTCGTGTTTCCCGGAAAACTCGGAAAATTTGTACGTCAGCCCCACCCGACAAATCCGACCGGTACAGGTAAAAATCCGCGGGTGGGATTTAACTTTCATCCGTCACTCCTGCCCCATCAGCACCCCCACGGCCCGTATACATAAAAACCCACCAAGAGCCACACTACACGCATACTTTGGTAGTCCCTTTCAAGTGTTTATTCAATGAACATATGCAGAGTGCATGCGTGTGTACTATGTACCTATATAGGCTTTAGCCGAGCTTCCGGGGACGCAAAGTGAAAAGTCACAAAGTTTTTCCACGCGCGGCGCAAGAAGGGGAGACGGGTCCCGGACGGTGTGTGTACAAGTTTTTGGGGAGCGATACTTAGCGGAGTAGCTTCCTCCCCGAAAGCTGGGCTTTATCGAGCGTAAAAATATCGCGCCGCTCTCTACTTAGCGAAACGAGACTACATCCTTGCTACTTTTCTCGAGATAATAGCTTGGAATAACCTACACACCCGCGACGTATCGACCTGCCCTCGTATACAGCATAAAAAGAAGAAAGTTGGGACGCGAGAGTCTGGAACACTGTTCAACTTTCTTTTTTTTTTTTTTTTTTCTTGCACCAAAGAGCACATGGAAGCAAAGATGCGGGGGGGGGTGCATTGATTTTTCCAACTAGACTTTTCCATTTTGCATCGAGGGGTGTTGAATGTGCTTTCGGGAGTAATGGCCGGAAGTGCAGGAGGCTTGTTATTTGCGACAACGCGAGTTCTGGTCTGGCGTTTGCCCTTCCTTCGAGGGGGATACGTTTTTACTTTTAAAAAAATTGCCATCAGCTGATATACCCACGTTGTACTTAACAAAATGAACATGACCGACAAGGTCATACCACGGAGAGATAAGACGCAAAAAAACGAGCATGGATCGATCGAGCCCTATCGGAGTGGGGGATGGCAGCGCGGAAGGGCGTAAAATTTCGGAGCTCCGCCCTTTACGCGGTGGCAGTTCTTCTTTAAGATTAAAGCGCGGGCGCCCTTGTAAGGGATCCCTCAATTTTCGCCAATGACCCCGAATTGGATTTACTCCCGAGGCTTCACTCCGAGCTTTTCCTCTCCAGGGCTGGTGGATAGTGGTGGGGGCAAAAGCAATTTCGCAAACTCGCTCTGCTGGACGTTTCGGAAAATTTTCTCGAAAATTGTTTTGAAGGGACACTCTGTCCTTGGAAAATGTAATTCACTCGCTCGGTTTTGTCTCCCTCGCACCGAAAAGAGGACAAATTGGGGCTTTCGTTGTTCGGGAAGATGCAGACGTACATGGATGGGAAAAGAAGCCGTCCGCGAAATAATCGGATTAGCGCAGTCGGAAAGAAGGACGGCGATGACGGTGCCCCTGCACTCTGTTGCTATACAGTGGCGCGGACAGACTTCAAGCGCGTTTTTAGCTAATGAACAAATTAACCTTCCCCCTCTGGGACCCCCGTGAAAAGGGAATTATCATAATCCACGGGAATTTTCCCGTAGAAAAGACGGCCAGGAAAAAAAAGGAAAGCGTACACCACCTGCAAGAGGGTATGGGGGGGGGAGTAAAAGCGTAAAAATTTCCGAGAGGAGCCCGGACCGTAAAAGCCATCATAAATAAAGTCAAGTTTAATTGCGACGTTTTCAAGTAGACGCAGAACTCTCTGGCTGGAAAAAGCGCGCGTAAGAGGGAGGAAATAAAAAAAAAAAAAAATCGGTACCCAAAGAGGGAGAGCATATCCTCTCGCATTTCTTTTTGCACGGGTCGAAGATGATCCTTTTTCCTCCGAGCCATACATGCACAACCAAATTAAAACAAAAGGGGGACTCGTTTTACACGCACGTGAGGAAGGTGAATTGAAATATTCGAGCCTCGACCCGCCCACCAAGTGTACACACGCGTCCATCCTTCGCGTTAATGCAAATTGATCCTGGCTCCCACCCGAGCCTTCTTCCAAAACAGCGCGTCCATCTTGTCCGTTTTATCCATCCTCCGGACTGGCGCGAATCAACATGCGAGGCCTTTGAATCTTAAAAGCCTTTTACGCCACCGAGCGAGAACAAGAACGCCCACACATGCATCAGGAAAAAAGTATACGTATAGAAGTGCTCGATGTAACGCAGACGCTCCGCGGAGAGCGTGAAAGTCGGTATAGTATACTTACTATACTCCCTTTCTTTTACTCCGCTGCGTGTATAAAGGGAGGTCGCTCCTCCTCGGCCGTGGAGAATATGTAAAAGTAATTCCTAAGTGGTTCGAAAGCTCTCCGGTGATCAACTTACCTCCCACTCCCGCCGTGCTCTCCCACGGCTCTTGTCTTACCACCGGAGCACTAGTTCTCCTTTTTCTTTTCCTCATTTCCATCTCCTTTAATCCACTGGAGCTACCTTTGTTCTCAGAAGAGGCTAGGGGGTGGGGAGTCTCTTAGCGTTGATTCGAAGAATCCTTTGGCTCCGCGTGCCGTTGGAAAATTGCATTTTTCCGATTTCACTCGTAGGTGTCTCGCAATATCTCGAGATTAAAACTTTCATCGGCCGATCAGGAGAGGCTCATTGTACAAGTGTTGTTGCGATGGTACATTATACACGTGTATAATACAGGAGCAGCTTTGTACATGCGTCGCGTGTGTACCGCGACGGATGTGCTTATCTGTGGGAGGGGCAAAGTGGTGTGCATGTAATATATAGTTACCAATAGCAGAAGAGGGGGGTTCTAAATGGGGGGAAAATCCTTCCTCCTCGGGTCTGATATTCTCGAGCACGAGCCGTGATGCGGAGAATCGTCGAGCGCATCGAGGAGCAGGCGAATAATGGGCGCGAATCCGGCACGGCTATTACGCCTCCCTCCCTCCCTCTCGCGCTCCTCGAGCTTTTCCGAGAGTTTTTCCCCTTTCGGCTTACGTATTTCGTCAATTACGGCCTCTCTACGCTCCGTTCGCGTTTTTCTACGCGGCTCCCTTGGTTTTTACCAACGCCATTTCTTCGTGTGCTTTGCAATTACAACACTTGTATTCTTGGAATACTCGACGTATGATTTCCTACGGGTAATCCCGAATTCTCGATGGGGTGAATTGAATATTATAAACATGACACGTGCACAATGTGAACAAGTCAAGACTCACCTTGATGAAGCGTTTGGCCTTGGTCAGGAGGCCAAGCGTCGTGTGCCTTGACGTTTCTGGGCCCAGAGGCACGAGTCCTTTCAGCTTTTCGAGGCAATTCCTGAGATGAGCTCTCCTGCAACAAACAAAAAAAAAAAAAAAATGCCGATTAAATCGATACATGTTTATAAACGAACGGCAACGTTTTTAATTGCAATCAACGCGTAAGCTCATTCGCGGCTAATGGATGAATTCGTTATCATCGTTGTGCCACTGTGCTCGTATACCTCGTCTGCAAAATTATATCAATGATCGATAACAAAAACACAACCTAACGCGGTTAATGAACTATATAGAGTGAGTACTTGGCGAGCAAATTAATTTCCAGCGGTACACAACAAAGGCAATAACAACAACAAACGCACATCGGCGCGGAATACTGCGCGCCAAAAGGAAATAGATGCAATATCGCCGAAACGAGTAGTAGGAGAAGAGGGAGGGGGGTGGGAGTGGTGTATAATAATAAAGGACGCTCGCGAGAGAGGAGCGTGCGTGGAATATAATTCGCGAATAACTCGCTTTGGCGCGTATGTAGGCACGTATGCGTACACCAACCTGTACGCATTTATCGCCAACTCGCGTCTGTATGCGTGTACTATGTACGGCTAATGGCCCGTGATCGTGCCGATAATGCGCGACGACGCCTCTTTTCCTCCTCCCCCCCCTCTAACCCTCCAAACGAAGGTTATTGTTATGCCTTGCCGTGTACTATGAATATTCTCCGGAAAATGGAAAATGATTGGCTGGCGTGGTCATGCGCGAAAAGAGAGAAAAAAAAAAAAAGAAAAGAAACAAGTGATATTCGTATAAAGAAAAATGGAGGGGGGGTGGAAGAGAAAGCGCGACGACGTTTTTATTAGCTCGGCGAGCGACGAAAATTTCAATTCGGACTGATTTATGCGACGGGCCGCTAAAAGTGCCGAGATTCTCTTTTATTCGCTCCCCTGAGCAGTACCTACTTGTCGACGTTTTATCCATATGTACGTGTATACGGGGAAAAAAGAGCGATCCTTGCCAAAATGTACGCGGGACGTGTCCCGTCCGCCCACACTGTAAATACATGTATATAATTGTACATCCCCCGTGTATAAGATGGCGGGCTCGTTTGATTGGACTTTTCTCCCCCCTATAACCCGATATTTAGCCAATTTCCGGCGACTATCAGGAAGCCGGGAATCGCCCTGCTGGAAAATTCAGATTTACCGCTCTGCTGTGGATATACAGAGCCATCCCTTTCCTGTACCTATACCTGTGTTTGACAAAACTCACAGAAAATGCCACATTAGTTTACCGTCGCGGTGTACATGATCATTTGGTACAACCGGAGAGTTGGGAAATTAATTTTCCACCCGACCGTGTGGCAATAACCGCTGATTAAACTCGTTATATATCCGTTTGGGTCTCGATTCGCGCTAATTGATATACTTATATTATAACTTGTACATCGCAGGTTATGTATATACGTATACATATATGCGCGTGCCAGAGCACATGAATCCATATGATAATACACACCCTGTGCAGCGGATTCGGAAAATTTTTAATTAAATTTCATTTCGCCTTTGTACAGCCGCCACATGGTTGACCATCCATCACTTCTCGCGAGCGAGCCAGAGACACAAAAAAAAAAACCAAGAAGCGAAAAGACAACTACCACGGGCGTAATAACGCGTTTCGCGTGAAAATTGAAAATTGTTCTCACAATTACAAAACTGCAGCAGGCAGAATCAGGGGTGGACGGGGAGGGTTCACAAAAAAAAAAAAAAAAAAAAAAAAACCCAGAGGTGGTGGTGGGGGAGGCTCCGCAGCCCGAAACAAAGTTCCCAAAGTAGAGGATTGCAATAGAAAACGACTGTGCGCGAGCTCGCCATAAAACACGGCCCTGAATTCCAGAGCAGCGGCGTCCGCGCGAAATTGCCAATTTGCAAATTTCTCGACGCCCCCACCCCCCACCCTCCCTTCCACCATCCATCCATTTCACTCCTCTATACCCTTCACTCCTCGAGCTCGACTTTCGATGGTACAATGCAAACGGACACGCGCCCGTCAGAGGCGTTTAATTGTATGTTTATGCGCCAGTTTACGGCCCTCGTTGACCCACCCCCTCCCCTTACCTACCCCTACTTAAAAGTTATATATATATATATATATATACCACTAACCCAGTTGTTGTGTACTCTGTTATGAGCGTAAGGGTCGAAAGTGGAAAATTCGCTAGTGGTACCTATATACGTACAGAAAAAGACGGTAAGGGGGTCGCAGCGGCTCTCCCGAGTTGCCTCTGCCCCTCTCTCTCTCAACCGAAGTAGCGCCATCCGTACATATATAAATAAGTATCGATGCTACACCCATATAATAATAATACAAAGCCTGAGGAAGAGGGGATGGATATATACGAATTCCCCTGGAGAAGAAAGGGGGGGGGGCCGCCAGAGTTTTACGAGAAACAATAAAGCCTCCGCATCCCGACTGCATAGGGTTAACGACGTCGTCAAACGGCGTTACGGCCTCGAATACGCCCAAACCCTTTATTCACCCCCCCCCCCCCACCCCGTCACATCAGGTGGTGAGGTCTTTACGTTGTGTTATATCATACACATCGAGGCCGGGTCGGTTGGGCAAACCGTATAGGAGATGTCCAAACCGAGCTCTCATGTCACACAGGGATCATATAAGAAGGGACACGGATATTTAACTGGGCATAATCGTTGGGTTGCCACACCGCGGATAACGAGGAATCGCACGAGTTTCGCTTTCACGGAAAGTAGAATTAGTCGACGAACGTGCACGGGCATTCGTTAATACCAATCAACGGGAGCTGGTATATATCAATACGGAATGCCGGGGTGTGTGTAAACAAAGTCTCGGGTAAAAAGCTTGACAACGGAGGGTGGAGGGAGACCCGTGGACGAGCGATATACAGCAGTTAGTGTAATATACACGGAGATGATGTATACAGAAAAAGGGAGATACGGTTTATGCACTCTATAGAGGTATATATTATACATACAGACGGATCCCGAGAAGTTTAATGCCTATATAATAAATGTACAAAGGGGCAGACAAAGGACAAACGAAGTTGGCGTAAGCAGCTCTCGCCACCATTAAAAACTTCCCGATCCTCCTCTTGCTCTTTCGTAATGATCCGCAAAGCGGGGCAGCCGAGAGAAACGCTGCGTGTATAATATATATACATGTGCAGGAAATAAGCAGCGGGACGGGGACGGGGGGAGGAAGACGTGGTTTCTTCTTCGCCCAACCCCCGCGGGACGAAAGTCAGCCGCTTGAATTATTGAACGGGTATTATGCGATCCATCTCTCAGCCTCCTCTTCTCTCTCTCTCTCTCTCGGCCCTCTGGCTGTGTACGTATATATACATACATGTACATATATACGCGTCTTGCTCAGTGAAATACATGTACATGTACACGTATATGGTGGAAGTTTGAACTTTGCAGTGTGCTGACCTCTCGAGGCCTTCATATATATATATATAAAAATGAGGCGTAGAAGTCTCAGGTGTGGAAACTTGTTCTGTCTCCGTGTCCGCCCTTCGTCGTCCCAGCTATTTTTTTTTTTTTTTTTTTTCATTTCACGCATACGTACGCGGGTGTCTCTCTCACCGTGTTCATGAAAAACCACGCTAAATGCACGTTTCTGTAAAAGCATCGCGCGGTTTATCTTTCCCTTCCACTGTACGTACTCCTTTGTTTCCTTCCGTGTGCACCGTATACTGTTTTACGGGACTCTTGGACACATTTACGTCAGATTGGGAAGATATTTATGCAAGTAGGTACACATGGAGAGCTTTGACTTTGATCCTTTGCTGAATATACCCATCACCTACAATTCGTATACAGGTAGGTATGTGTCTGCACGCTTGTTGTGACTACTTTGTTTCGCCGTCGTGTTATATCTACGCTGCTTTCGCCCGGAAAATATAGACTTTTGATGATGTTGTCGAGGGAAAATTGAAAAATTCCCGCCAGGATAGCCCGAAAGGTCTTTTAGACCGTGATTTTATACATTAGAGCGTAAAAAAATAGTGATGAATAAATAAATATAAAATGGAAAGGAGTTGAGTTAAGTATCGTCAGCGAGACAGAGCTTTGTTAACCGATTCTGGACCCCCCAAAAGGAGAGAGATTACACAACATAATACCGCAAAGATAGCCATGATGTATAAGTTATTAAGCCGTGTGGTATGACCACGTGTGGCTTCAAGTAAATTACACAGGAAAATACAGTATAATAATTCATACAGAATAATTTTACAGTTCAAATTACATACGTGATATTATCGGTTATTTATAAATTCAGTAAGAGATACAATTACATTTGTCTTTCTATGTGTACATCTATGAGAAAATGATGAAAGATGAGTGTTGATAAGCATGAAAAGAAGAACGTAAAGGGTGATCTAGAGGCGGGGTGAAAGTCTGCATTCTGTATTCCAATGGTTCGAGTCGAGGGTTATTGTCAAACGACTCGAGCCAATAAGCGTTGAGTTTGGCCTCCCGAACATCGAAGCCCCTGGAGTTCTCAAAAAGGGAGCCCAAAGTCCATTAACACGCCAACGTCGTTCGCGCGTACAACACGACGGCGCAATTCAATGCAGCCTCGGTGAAATTGTTTCCTCGCCGCGAGGAAGAAAACGCGCGGCTGCAACTCTGCAATTTCATCGCAATTTCGTGCCATTCTCTATCCCTCCCTCCCTTGGTGGAGTAGGCGAGGGGGTTCACGTCAAGTTCATTCGTATTGAAACAGAGATAATCAAAGCATACTCACATATACGCTACTCTGTATGTTTATTATGTATACATATACTTAGGAACAGCAACTCAGAAACAGAGAGAGAGAGAGAGAGAGAGAGAAAGAGCTAGCTGGAAGCCACTTCACGCACAGTGGAGCTTTGCTGCGTCTCCTCTCGGAGCTTCCATTGCTCCCGCGACAATACACATGCATGTATATGCACTTCGGGGAGGATAAAAAGAATGAAGAAACTTGAGTAAAAGAAAAAAAAAAGGTAGAGACGGTGACCCTCCTCCTCCCTTGACCGACACCCCAACCTTATTA